GCCGAGGTCGACCTCACTCTCTCCCCCACCGCATAGTGACCGCCTAGCTTTCTGAAAACCTGAGGTGGGGTCTGAAAACCAGTGGGAGCGCGAATGCAATCACCAACAGGGAATCAGAAGTGAGAGAAAGTGCCAGCGCCTTCCAGGACGCAGGGACCGTGGTTGGCTGAGGACTGGAGTTGCATGTGAATACAGACCATTCGATCTCAGGTGAGAGCAGCCCTGCATGGAGCCTGAGTGATAGTACCAACCACACCATAAAGAACATACTATTCTCAGTTAGAACAAAGAATCATGAACAGGACTGGAACTTCAACTTACCTTTCTGCTTACTAGCATATAGAGGATCTATTCACTCATTAATCGATTTCACTCCACATTTCCTCTGTACCGGGCGAGATTTCGTTTGCCATGTGATCTTTATCATCCATTTCAAACACCGGATCCATTATTAGAAAACGAATACGCCACGCATCTTCGCAAGGTTATTTGACAGGCCCATAATGCCGCCCGCAATAATATCTAATCCGTATCCACTAACTAGAGGTCCGAATTCGACCGCCGTTGCGCTGGCGACACCCATTAGCTTGGCGACTTGTTACTATTCTACAATGAAATACCCCATAGAGGCACGTCGGCAAATTTATACCATCCATGGCAGGGACACTTCGTCATCCAAAACATGTTCTCCGATACCAACCTCCTCATACGTGCTGCCATTCAATCCCGAGCAGCTCCTTTACCAGCGCATTTTGCTACATTCAAACGCTTTCGAGGCCAGTTACCAAGTTGTACTTCGAAAACCCCACCATCCTCCCTGACGACCAAGTTACACCGTAGCTATAGATGTCACTATACCTTTAACTGTTGTCGCTATGGGCACTGAGGGCAGTGCCCCATCTACAGAGGGGGCTTCGTAAAGCCCAACGGCTAGGACTGGGTTTGGAGTGATCAAAGTAAAAATGACGGTCATTGTTATTCCCACGCAGCTACCTACCCAGATCTTACCGAAGCAGGATCCTCGCTCTCCGCCGCACCTGACTCGCCGCAAGCCTGTTTATATGGCCCTGTAATTTAATAGCTCTGTAACCCCGTCCCTATCAATAGCTTAGTCTATCCTTTTCATCATAATTTCGTTCTATGAACCCTATTGCATACCCATCATCCCATTCTCGTACCTCGTTGTGTATTATGAGCACTGAGCAAGGATGAATGTTTGTGAGATGAGCTGTTGAACGATTGTAATCATTACCAGGTCAGGCGGATATAGCCTCAGAAGGCCGAACCAAGCAGGACGCTAGTGTTTAGTTTATGTAACTAATGCCATCCAGTCAACCAATAGGCGAACAGCGGTGTATGAGTGGGCAGGTTAAACACGTGTGTAACAATGGTCCGCCTGGATTTTTTTGCCGAATACACTTTTGGGTTGCAAAAGCTCACCGTTACTATTATCTCGACCAAGATTGAACAGTATCTCTACGACATTACCTGAGCTAAATATAGGTACAAGTTTTCGGTCTGTTCTCCTGGCTCAATATCCATCAAATCCGATTCTTCTCAAAGCAATCTCTTGCTTGATAACTTAGATTTTTCCCCAGACACCTGTACCACAAGTGATGTTTCACTCCCGGAATGTGTCTCCTTTAGTCTACTTGCAAAGTCTGGATCGAGTCCATTTAAGAGCACTTGTTTGCCGCACATGGTAGACCTTATATGCAAGAGCGAAGCTCTACTGTGCCGTTTTTGTCAGGGGAAACTAGTCAACATAAAGTAAGCCAGTCCTCTCTTAACTCGTTGCCTAGAGCTGTCTCCAAGATGGATACATTGTTTTCGGTGGACGATCTTGCCGAGTCCGAAGCGCAGTCATTCTGTCATTCCAATAATCAGCATTCAACCGGATCTACCAGCCTTTTGTCAACGGTTGCTCAAAACATCCCCATCTCATCGGGTCTTTGTAACGGTGTTGAAATGCTCTTCAATCCCAGCATCTGGTTTCCAGGGTCTACAGTGCAGGCGAGCTCTTCGGAAGAGTTGTTATGTGCGCGTTGCAGATTGGTGATAGGCCGGACAGGTTAGGTTTTTACATCTTTCCTCTAGGAACTCTCACAGTACAATTGTCCCGTAAAATATACATTTGTGCGGAAGTTAAACGTTTTATGCTTGACAACCCTGTAATAAAAACGCCAAGCTTCTCTCTCGGGTGGAAAGCTAGACTTTCGTCATCTATTTAGGATGTTTGTCACCACCGTGGAATAAGTCGGATAAATATAAATATTACTCTTTGAAGTTAGTACTTGCCGTTTCCCCATACACCAACGTCGCGAATCTAAATTTTATTCATAGCTGTAAACTGGCTGATATCACTACCAGTCGTGGCATGAAGCTAAATGGAATCTAACAAGCTTGCATGAGAATGCGTACCTTAACTTGGCTCTTCCCGTGGATACTGCGTACCTTTTGAAGAGTAGCTCTTCGGTTTAATGCTTTAATTCTAAGAGACGAGCGTGTTCTCTCACATATATGCTTTATCCATCTTAAGCTTGTTGTGGTTAACACAAACTTGCCCGAACCTCTTTCCCGTCAAGTAATAATTTTCAACTAAATCAGTAACGATTTTTTGCTTTGGCTAAGCTTCTTCTTTGTCTATTCCAAGAAAACTACTTGAGTAGTAATAATATGCATTTTCTGCTTTAATTATGTAGGCCGCATGTGAAGTAGCTAACTTACCGATTATAAAAACCTAGGAGATGAATTTCCTGCAATATGAAGAAGTGATAATTAAGATGGTGTAGGTAATTATTCAGACGCTCTCCATACCCAACTACAAGATTGATTTCCTAAGTTAAATTACAGCATACAAGTAGGGCCGTTCACTGGTTTCCAACCCCTCCGTTATTGTCTTGCGGTCGATACCACTAGATTGTTTGCACTTTTTATCAGCCGAGTTTGAAAATTAATGATTCAAGCTCAGTCCGGCAGATTTTCATCGTTATTTTCATTTTTAGTCAACACAGATGAAAAGGCAGGCCGTATCCTTTGGACTAATTGTGTCTCGGCGTGGATCGAAGAATTTGATATTGACGGGGATTATCTACGTCACATCGAAGCTCCCCTCATGTGAGCTAGTAAATGACTATGCCATTGGATGTACGGATTTATAAACAACCATAAATGCTCTCGGAGTGCGTTTATTTCATGGGCTGGACCGTTTATTTAGATGCCATTTCCGAGCAACCTTTTAGAAGTGATAGGTATCCTCGGCTACCTCTAGTGTTAGTAAATACTGCACTTAATGTCAAACTACTCTAATCGTCATCGTAAGCACTTTTGCTGCAATTTATTAACAGTGAAAGACAGGGTGTATAAACCCTCTCCATCCACCCGGTTCCATGGATCGAGTTTTTAACTTTCCATACCGAAACCCGCAAAACTGGCTATCTTTCGCTATCGTATAAACTTCGTAAATTTGTACGACCACGTTAACAACGAAGTTCTCTTTATAAGCGTTTTTGGAACTCCTCTCTAGGAGCTTTCGGGCAGCGCAATAGCTAAGCTCACGAACTCCCCTTGTATAAACCACGAATTACACACATCCCAAGACCAACTTCTACGTCGAACTCTGTCTCACCAAGTACTGGATCCGGTCTTAATTCATCTACCGAGAAATACGGACTCTTCCTGTCTGTTGGCTTGTGGCCCTTTGGCGTATTGTACCCAGCAGTATCCAATACTTTTTTATCCCTCCTACTTCTGATTTAATCACGAAAACCTCTGGTTTCTCCTCATAAAATCTTGGCTTTCTTTTTTCTCAACCACGCTCACTACCCTATAAAACTGTCAACGTTAGATTGCTTGGTGCCTCGAACCGTTGTATTTTATTTGGATCTTTAGTTGCTTCTTTTAATCATCCTCTGTTCCTGCTGAAAACCGAGTATTCTTTTGTTCTAGCCCCAATGACACCGACTTCTTCTCTTTGCTGTTCTCGCAGTTTTTGGACGCAAAATGCTATCGAATCACTTTGTCCGCGGGGACTTCCGATAGTGTCATACCTTATGCTCTGGTGAGATCTTTTTTCCTGTATTCACTCGGAAACCAATAAATATCTTAAAACTTACGAATGCTGCTCTAACCAACTAAGATAAGCCAATGCTGGACAACCCTGCAGCCAAAAAACCACAGAATTATTCCTCGGTAAATTGTGAGTGTATGCGAATTGTTAGAGGGCGGGTACCTAAAGTGAATGTATGTCCATTTTTCGTCAACAATATTGACAAGTATGTGCAAAGTTAGGAGCCGTGAGTCTGGAGTTTTCACGGTCTCTTCTGCTCATTCGTGTGTTGTAAACAAAACACGGTTTTAGCAATCAAGCTTCAGATATTGAAAAAAGCCTTCTTCATTCTACACTGCTTCCGAATAATCCGTCTAACTGCCTTATCTTTGTGATTTCTGGTTATTGATAAATGTCTCTTAAATATTATTTTCCGAAGATATTCTCCTTCGTAGATATTAAATACACCACTGATAGTACCTTACGGAATAGGATGTTCAAACGCACTTCGCAGGATTCCTCGAGACTTTCGAGTATTGAGGAGTCCCCAATAGGCCCTGCATTTTTGAATTTGAGTTTTTATTCCCACGTTTTAGTTCGGTGGGATTTCATCGCAGGATAGCAGTGACAAGCAAGCTCATTCAATAGCGATTCACGATTGCCATTCCATATTTTATTATATATATGCAGTGGGTCTGTGAACTGTCAGTCCAATGTGCTGTGCTAGTAATGTCTGCTAATCTGACTATTTATTTTTAAAACCTAAGTCTGCTTAGGTCTTATGTAGCCTTCATAGAGGCCGTTCCACCATCTGCCACTCATTTGCGTCCTGGGTTGACAGAGACTAAACTTGCCAATACAAGCGAACATCCGTGTCCCAGGAAG